ATTATTTATAAATAGATCTTTCCATTCCTAGCGCCTGGCAAGCGATTATCAGTTGGCAGCCCATATGGGCTGCCATCGTCCCAGGAGCGCATGTTGTTGGCAGCCCATATGGGCGGCCATCGGCGTGAATGTGTTAAGGGACCTTCGATTCTATGCAATCTTCTCTCAGAAAAGATTCCAATAGTTTATGATCTCATTAATTTTCTAGAATGTACAGTCGATATCTCGAAGTCTGATTGGGCGTGTCACCGGAAATGACGTGGCAGCCACCGCACTTGATAGATGTTGTGTGGATAAAATACTCCGCCAGATATCAGCAAAGCGTGTTGGAAGCAGCTTATCCGCGCAACTTCTATCAAGTGCGGTGGCTGCCACGTCATTTCCGGTGACACGCCCAATCAGACTTCGAGATATCGACTGTATGTATTTCTCAGTTGCCGTAACACTTTTCCAGATCACCCCATTACGTTGCCGGCTGCAAGATAAGAATTAGACTATATTTGCATCTGTGGATGGGCAAGCATAGTTGCTTGATTCAGCTAGCTGTAGAAAAATTAGTTAGTACAACTTTTCACTAAGCAATCATTTTATTGCTACGATTGTATCAGCTCTTGGCATTGCTTCGTTTGTATTCAAGAGTTCAATACCATGCGGTGAATTTTTGTGAGACTGTGATGGTATTTATTTTCTTGTGTTTCTCATCATTTAATTACCTCTTTCATTTGTCTTGCCTTTTAGATCTTCGTAGAATTCGCATGTCTTCTATTTGGTGCATTTACTAGATTATCTTCCTGTACATATTTATATTATCTAAATATTCTCGTATCATCAGCATTATTGTAAAATAACTTTCTTTCTAGCAATATGCTTTATAGTGTTTGTTTTATAAGAAATGAAAAAAAGACTTAGAAAAAAAATTACTCGATCTAGATCTCACTGTGCCTTTTCGATAGGATAATAGGCCGAATGTGTAGCCGTTAATGGTTTCCTTCTAATGTAACCCTTAATCCTGTTTTATTTATTTCTGTATTCGACTTCCCCTATATTACCTGCGATACTAAGTCGACCAAAGTGGTATTACTTGTATTTGAACGTTTCATGTGATAGAGAATGATGCTTTTGATTTGTTGCTCATTCATCTGGTTCTTTTCATTCCTAGAGCTTGTCTCCGCATTCACTAAGACATTCATTCCAAATAAATTCTCAGTTTTGTGACAGTAATTGTAATGTTTATGTGGCCATGTATATTGACCTGCGTTTATTCCCAATAAAGCATAAAGTCATAGAAGAGTCGGATGTATTGAAATACCGTAATCACGAATCAGAAAAGGTGAAAGGGAGCAGTCGCGGTGGAGCGCTTCGCGACTGGCTGAATTCTCACGGGTCGACCTAGCACGGCGGATCATTTTAGTGCCACGACAGTCGGCTAGGCTAGCCGACTGTCGTGGCACTAAAATGATCCGAAATGGCTGGACCGTACCTTTCTTCTTATCCGCCCACTCTCACGGCTCGCCTCCAAAAGGGGCGTGAAAACGGTAGAAATTTTTTGTTAATAGGAATAAAATGGACAAATGCACGACTGCTATGGGATGAACTACAAATTGATTAAGAATAAGTTCAATTGATGTAACTTTTGCAGGTTGCTGGAAAGTGTCGACAATCCTAAAGCAAGCTTTATGGGAGCTCCTGAGAAGATATCCACCCTCTTGCAAAAACTCATTGGCTCTTTTTAATTTTGATTTTTTTGACGTTTTTTTTCTGGAAAAGTGACTATCGGGAAGTTTTAGCTGTATATAGCTCATAAAAGAGTAGCAATCAAAAATCTCAGTGGGTTTGTTCGACTAGTTTCTTCAGGATGCGCCTCGCATTCCAATACCAGCTACAATTGTAGTAGCATTTGAATTGAAACTTATACAACGACTTGCACGTCAAGTGGATGTGCAGATCACAGCTTTTATTCGCTGAGACGAGCACGGTAGCCATAAAGCTAGCTCGCGAAGATGGAAAGCCGGCTTAGATGGCCTGAGGAAGCATTTGATTTAGGGATCGATCCCTGCACCGCTCACATGTGATTGGCGCCTCTTGTTGATACACCATTTCTCTTCAGTATAGTAAGCTGATAAAACACAGGTCTAAGAGTAAGATAGTAAAAAAGCGTTCGGCGATGAAGCATTAACACTTCTGAAAAAAGACCGGCAGATTCATTAAATTCTTGGACTCTCGCCAACGATCATGGGAGGTCTATACCTTCTATTTGCGTAAGAATCAAAATCTCGAATAGAGCTTGACCAAGTTGCTGGGAAAACACGCCATGAATTCACTAGATAATATGATACCTGGTGCAAGGTCAAAAGTTGAACAGCAACATACGTTTTGCCTTTTTCTCAGTACCTATACACAAAACAGCGTCTTTTGGACGACTTTTGAGGTGTTTTGACCCGGTGACCTCAGATAGTGGCAATCACCTCGAACGCCTCGACGTATTCCCAAGATGTTTTTCTTTTCTTCCCTTTCTTTTCGAATTCCAGATTTGCTAGCTCTGCAGTCTAGTAGTGTATCTTCAGGTACCATTGAATTTTATCGTTTCTATTAAATACTTTGTCGAACCGCTTGTCCCTTGGCGACTCGCTCTCCAGGCTTACCACATTCCTTCTAACATTGCTCGATTTTGAGCCTTTTTTGGACCACTGGACAATCGTCACCGGGAATCGAAATAGTAAAATATAATGGAACTCATGAACTGGTGATGAGCTTATCTGGGGCTTGTAACTCTTGCATAAATTCTAGGCAAAATCGGATAAGTTGAAAAGTAACAAAAATTTTATAACGAAGGGGGCTTATATTAAATGAAATTGTGCATAAAAATATATCTATGTACTGTTTTTCGAGGGGAGCAAAGCGAACAAGTAGTCCATTTTTTCTGTTCACAAGCCGCAATTGGAAGATGTCGAACTTTATCACGGTTCTGAGGTTTTTTTTTGTAAGCCGCGGAAACTCGTACAATTAAGGAGTTCGTATCCTCCTTTCTGCCCTTCTTACTGTGAGCTACACTTTGGGATCATTTCCCGAGCCATGTGCATGTTTGTGCGGAACTTGCTCATAACATTGGCCAGCAAATATCACTCGGAAATAGTGTCATGAATCATCAGCGCCGAGGCTCGTTAACGACCGTAAACCTGGCAGTGCTCGAACCGCGCGCTCCGACGATTGCTGCGATTTCTTCCGTCTGCCCGCGCCACTCACAATCGTCTCTCCCGTCGGGTGGATACGGTAGCTTACCACTGCCTCTTATTCGAGTGCTACTTTCTGCATACCAAGCTCGCTTGCAAACAGCTTGCCAATAGTCTTTACGTGGGGGTTTCTCGCCTGACAGTTGTAGTATTTTCAACGCTGCGACTGTTTACCGTTGAGTCCTTGGAGGTTTCGATAAAAATCAAATGTTGGTCGGTCTAATCAGTAGTATGGCCGAGTTCTCTGTTGATTCAGTTCACTCTCGCAGCAGAAAGCGCGACCATCGCGGCTTTCAATAGCCCGTACTCCTTATTTGCAGTCTATAGCACTTTGCAAAAAGTTGCTGAATCATCTCTAACGCTTTGATTTTCTGAAAATCCTTTGCTTCCGGGGAATGACTCTCAATGATTTGTTGCAGCCTGATCGCCTACCTCTGGGACATCTTTATCTCTTTCGTGGGAGATTGCTGCTCAAAGAAGGGGTCCAGTTGAAACAGCGTTGCAATTGTCCTTCGTTTGGAAACACTAGCCCTTATCGGCTCTTTCACCAGAAAAGTCATAAATTCTGAATGTTCCTATGCTCAATGCTCATATTTGCCAACGATGATTCGGGGTCCATAAGAATTCTTCGCAGAGATACTCTGTATTGCGCAATCCACCTGTTATCGTTTCACGTTCGCCCCACAGCGATGGGTTGTCGTCATCATTTGGGCAAGGGGAAGTGAGGATAAGGTTGAGGTTGAGGAGAAGTGGACGCTTCGCAGCTTTTAGTGGGCCCATCTTGCACACCTTCTTCTTGAAGGGTCTATGTGCATTTGGCAACTTTTCTATGAAAGGCGACCTGTAGCTCTCGATTTCCGCCATCTCGGTTACTGTAGGTATGAAATGAAAAATTAAATATCGGTGCTGACCAGTCTTTTTCCAAAGGTGAGATAAGTCACGCATTCTATCAGTTTCACCATCCTATGGCACCCAGTCTGAACTCTCACCTTAAGGATAGGCTGAGCTGCGTGCCGAGAAAAAATGTGGCTTGCGCAAGCCCCTTTCTTTCCCTCCCCCATCCTCCATGGGCTCGTATCCATTTGACGTCGTACTACACTAGCTCCATTTCTTGGAAAAGTGAAGTAAGATGCCTAAGAAAAAACAAGTGAAGTGGCTCCTAAGAAAAAAGTGAAAATCGCTCAAGAATTCTAATAGCTTCCTCACTAAGTCCGCACATTTTAGTTGAGGTCAAGCCCTCTTCTTCCTAAAGCGCTCGGCGGTCACACCCACGTCCTTTCCTCGATCCAAATAGCGATGCTCTAATAGGGGATGATTGGTAATTTGGAAACCAAGTATGACTAGACGTAAAGTTTTTTCGGCCTAAGCAGAAATCTCTACGGGATTTCGAATCCAGGTATCGTGTACTGATAAGCGGCGCCACCTACAACTACTCCACCGACTCGGTTACTGTAGGGACATACGTATAGCAAATAAATTCCATAGTATTCTATGGTTCATAGTTGGGTTTTATGGCAGTTGGTCAGGTATTGCAATGTAAGATGTAAGGTCCGACTCTTGTATCGAGATTCGAAGAAGTGGCTGACATATCAATGTTAGCTCCAAGGAGTTTTCAAATTCAACACAAAAATGTAGCACGCAGCATTGTTTGTAATGTAATACATGACACAGTCTGTACTGATTTCTTAGTAATGTGCTGATCCGGAGCCTCATCGGGACCTAAATGTTGTAAACACAAAGATTCACTAAATTTTTATTCCTGAAAAATCCAAAAGCTCACAACAAATTGCCGAAGAAATCCAAAAATTTCAAGAAACCCAAAACATTTCAAAGAGAATTCCTTCAAAATCTTCCGCGAATTCCACTCCAACGGCGCGGCTCCCGTAAGGGCAGCTAAACTTGGCTGAGGCAACACATGCCTGAAGAAGGTGTTAAACACCGAAATATCGCAGAAGATTTCAAAGGAATTCTTTTTGAACTTTTCTTTGTTTTTTGGAATTTTGGAGTTTTTGGATTACTGAATTTTCTGAACTTTTGGAATTCTTTTGGAATAAATTTTGGTGCCTCTTTGTGTTGTACTAATTCTGGAAATCATTATTATTCGTTGTTAGGTTCCACAAAACTGCAACGTAGTACCGAGAGAAAGTATTGAAATGATGCGTCATGACGTTCCTTGGAATGTCCATAGCAATCTACCGTAGCGCCTATGTTTGCCGTTTCGTTGGCAGACGATTGTGTTTTCGTGGTAATCGCAGTATACGGTATCGTGGAATCGTTATCACTATCGTTCGCTGTAAAAATGTGGTCTGTTCGCAGGTAGACCGTCTTTACCATAACAAAATTCCTTTCCCTTCACACCTATTCACTTACCTAACAAATCGATTGAGTTTCGAAATTTTTCGATTCATTCTGCTCAAATTCGTTTGCTCGGGGTTGCGTCTGCAGTCCTAAAGAACTATTAAATGTGCTGCACAGTACGAGTAAGTGGAACTGAGCGCTAGGTTCCAGTCTCATCGTAGTCGGATAGTAGAACTATGTCATCCGTTTTTGTTTCGTTTTTGAAGAACGTGTTTGAACAAATTTCTGGATCCTGACGGATACCCTCGCTTTCAAAATACGCGAAGAACTTCGGGTGCAAATCATACACTACAAATGACGACGGCCTCCAAGTAAATCTGGTTAGTAGTGGTTCATAGTGATAGCTGATTTTTGGTAAATGATAGTTGTAAATAGTGACAACTGATAGACAATGCAACAGGCTAATCATTTCATTGGCAAAAAACATTTACATTTTGTGAGGCCGTCGTCACTTGTGGTGTATGGTCTGCACCCCGGCACGCTTCTCGTATTTTGAAAGAGGAGTTACCCTATTTCATGTATTTTCAAGAACATACTTAAATGAATAACATGAAACTTTAAGATGTCACTCGAGAGCACACTTGGGCCCCACCGCTAAACTCTCGCACTCTTCTGGGATCCCAAAATTCGCGCGACTGTCTCATCCAGTAAATGATCTGCACCCCTAGCCGGCAACGAGATGCTGAAAAAGAGCGAGTCGCGTTCTTCGCCGCATTGCTTTCTGAACGGGAATTCCAGGTTTGTTTTTCAAGGAAAGCAAAACCAAAAATAATTCAAAAAAATCTGAAAAAAATCTAAAAGAAATCTTTGAAAATGTTTACGAATCCTGCTGGATACCTCATTTAGTACTGCACTGTTTTGATAGAGGTATTTTTTGAGACGGCTTCTAGAGGCCAAAGGAGATGAAAGTGGAAGCTCGAGTGGAAACCGAACCCACTAACTACCGTACCAGACAGAATGCGAATCTGTCACCATCATGAGCTTACTCTTTGTGACTAATAGCATGACAAACGGCAAACGGCGCGTTTAAATGATTTAGAAGGATGTATCCATAGATAAGGAATTTGTTTATGGGTACAGGGAAAAAGGGGTAACGTGTTTATGGGTACAGGGAAAAGGACTAACGTGAACGCGTGAAACTAAAAAGCCGGAAAGCTGCTGGGTAAAGGAAGCCCAACACAACGTACTCAAAACGCAATGGAGGAGAATGCGAAGTGTGCATGCGCGATAGTAAGACAGTCCTTGCCAAAACGTTGCTGAATACAAACTAAGATTTGGAACGGCAACTAAAATGAATTGACAATGAAACATTGTCGTTGGCTTGATTTTTTGATTTTGATCTGGCTGTTTCATTACCCTGAGCTGGACCACCAATAAAACTTGGTGAGCGGTCTGAGCCATCTTGTCCCACTGCTTTATAGTACTAATAAGTGTAGCAGAACTCACACGAAGCCTTCTGGTTTCCACGGTTTCCACAGTTTGAAAGGTGGGCTTCGGGATCACATTCGATTGAACGCAATTTAGGAGGAATTTATGGAAACCCAGATAGAACTCTGAATCGGACGAGTAACTTTTGACCTTGAATCCTAAGGTTAAGCACGCTGTTCAATATGGTGCAGCATTTATCAACTGTATCTTAATACCTAGCAAGGTCCCAAATCGTATGAAGGCCATGGACGTGCTAGGAAGTATTTCTCCCTATAACTGACCCTTCTGAAAGTACTTCGTAGAGGTTCCTGATCAGGGTCAACCGTCATTGAGATTTTCAGAAGACGTTGTATTTAGGAGTTTTTGGGCTAGTAGTCATATTTGGAAAAAGGTACGTGATAATGGAAGGAGGGGAACCAAGAGTAGGAATCTCTTACGAATTTGTGTAGGTAAATGGACATAGAGTAGAAGTTCTGAGCGATGCTCGTGGTTTCGTAGCGGTGTGTTCCGAGAGTAATCGCTTTGTAGGGTCCCAATGAAGTTTTGAAGCACCAACAAAAGGCTCACCAGCGGTGTGGAAGCGGGCGCGCACTGATGACGTCTCGGGGTAACAAGGGCTCAGAGCTGAAGAGCTGGCGCCAATAATTTAACAAATCTCAACCTCCACCATCTATCGTACACCAACTTCGTACTTTAATAAATGTGAACTAACCCGAGGAATCGTCACCTCATTAAACCAGCTTCGGCCTAGTCGTCAACTACAGCTGAGGATTTACAAAGGAAATCGTTGATTTTCCCAAATTTTCAAAAAACCTATTTTCTAGTGTGAAGGTGTATCCATGAATGGGAAGAGCATTTCGCATTCGGATTGACTGATTGCCCAGGTTGGTAACATGCCAGCAGCAACCCTGGTATACTGTGATGAACTGCTAGTCGTGTCGTTGCGCATGCCGTAGCCGCGGCACGCCTATATACGCTCGCCTCCGGGGCGCTGTTTAGCTTGCCTCTCCCTCGAAATTTTCAGTAAAAGATTGTCACTAGGGCTTGAGAGGCTGCCCCCTTTCAAATCAACCGCGCACTCAATGCTTTCAGTGTCGAAGCAGAGATATGTTCTAGGATAAAAGTCTAACCATAAGTTGACTCTATACTATCGAACCTCCACAGCTTTGAGTGGGAGATCAGTAAGTTGGCAATCCTCAGCGTTTGCTTAGTAGCTAACACATTATCATGGTTTTTGCCTCGCGAAAAAATCTGGGAAATTGCTGCACGGCAGAGAAACCTCTTTGAAAGCTCCCTGTGAAATCAATCAGCTGACTCAATCCTTCTATAAAATCTGAGTCTGAGGCGAGCCAGTGCCGGTGCCGTGCTATTGTGTCAGATTTCAGTGAAATGGGATTCCGACAGGAAACACTAAACTTAGGGTGCTCTACTTAAAAGGGCAGGTATAAATCACAAAATGATTCCGATTGAAGCAAGACGACTTGTCACTGACGTTGTGCTACATCTTATAGTCAGAGGTGCACTTTGAGATCGAAAGTCTGAGTGTAGTAGAGTATGATTAATTGGCACATGATAAGAGAGTGTGGTTGAGCTCGTTTCGCCTATGCGTATTGGTGTCTGAGCCCTCACCTGCCGAACTCCGAACTCCAAATACTGTCATCCTTAGCTAATAAGACAGTAGATTTTAAATTAGTCAAAACAGAATCCCTTGTTTTGAGTTGGTCTTAGGATAGAGTGGCAAACAGTACTCTGTGGGCGCTCATAGCCTTGGAAGATATTCAAAACAGGGTCTTTAAAAATGCGAAGATCATTTCACTTGATTGTAGGCACTGAAAGGAAGCAATAACAGGCACACCGTATTGGAGGACCTCGTCCCCTCTTTAGGGCTTAGTCTCGGGTACTGTAATTGGCTCACTCCTTTTTTTCCAAAGTTCTGGTTGAGACACTCTCTCGCTGGGAGAGTTCAGACAAGTATAGAGCGTTGCGTCACCACTAACGATCTCAATTGCTTTCCTTAATGGCTGCCACAAAATAAAGTGCCTGCCGCGATTCCAAATGTATTGATTCACTGGTTCTGAAAGTCCCCCCCCCCTTAAGGAAATGAGCGTCTTTTTAGGAACTTCTGGAATTGTTTACCGTATGACATGAAAAACGCACAGAGCGACGTCAAGGAATCGGGTTGATATGTGTTCGAGGCGACCATGACGCACGTGAATGGCCGGCGGCATGCCTAATAGCACACGTGCGTTTTCCGGAGCTATGTCTCCGTTAAGGTTTTTGAGGCGGAAATTTTAATGGAACCTTATCATCGCACTAAAAACCCTGAAAAGGTAGTGAGGTTGCCTTTGTCTGCAGTTAAAGGGCCGAAAGGAAATGGTTATGGTCCCTCAACGTATGGTCATTTATTTTATTCTCTAAGCAAAATAGGCAATGCCAGGAATCGGTTCACTTTCCAAGGGCTTTATTATAGACCGGTCGACCATTTTCATAATTCAGATTGATTCTTTGGAGACTTTTTAAATATACAAAAAGGGACCGTTTCGACGTGGTCTGCGTTTTATCATGAAGATCAAGCACGACTCCAACCCCTTGATGCTTCTCATAGAAAGTAGAATGCGTGGCGTACACCGAGAAGTGGAGCTGGTTGATGACTTTACATTTGGCCCGAGCCTTAGGGCAGAACGCCGCTTTTTGCGTAGGCTGGCAGAGGTTGGGCTTGAAAGCCATTCATCACCAAAAGAAGCGGAAGACAGTCTCGTGTCCTGAGAATTCGCTGATAAGGCCGTATGTACAAAAGCTATCGGAAACACACGCACAATTTGTAGGCAGACGACTTTCCCCGCTGATTGTAAAAGGCTCTATTGAAGAGTGACACTGATCACTGATAACATTGTCCACTCATTTTTCTCGCACTTTCACTGAATACTCTCATCAATCGCTGACTTTCGACTTTACCACAATTTCTTAGGAGTCACGTTTTCTTCAACTACAATTGGCATCCTCAAACGCTGAACTGATCTTCAGTAAAGTGATGTCTTTCCTTAATACTGGCGATTTCGACATGACCGGCTGCACGTCAGAGCAGGTATGTACCCTTTTCTTATTATCGAGCATATCTCTCAGAAATAGCGTTCGATTTTCAGATGTTGGCAGTGGCCAACGAATGCCAGATACTCTCACTCCAGGAACGAAGCCGAGAAGGTTTTCAGACGCCGCTGCCTAAGCCTGGTGGGTTACTTGAGTACAGTGATCCTTCTTGATCCAGATCCCTCAAAAAAGGACTACTTTCAGTATCTCACTACCCACTGGCTGCCGCTTCGGCTCCACTACCATGTCCCGTCCCCATCTTCTCACCCGTTCCGAATCCATTCCTTTTGATGGACTTACAGTCTCAGATACATGCTGCCAACCTGCTGCAGGTGAGTCACATGGTTCTGGTAACAAACCATTTCCGGTGCCCACATATTTTCCTTCAGATGATGATGACGCAATTACATTCCGTCAACCCACCGCAAGAAATTCTGGACGACAAGTCCTTTAAAAAGCGACGAGCCCATGGGGATGTCAGAGAAATGAAAAAGGCTCATTCAGTTGAGAGCGATGAGCCTTACGATA